ATTACTCCGGGTCATACACCTCTCTGCACACACTCAAAAGAACCACAACACTTCTAGCTCAAACAATATTTTCACTCACAAAAAAAAAAAAAAATTTAAAAGTTAGATTAACACCAAACAATCTTTTCAAAATAATGAACCGTTCATTCCCTGGCAACGGCGCCAAAAAGTTGACTCACACCGAATGCACCACAATAAAACTCCCAATTAAGGTCCAAGTATAAACCTTAACTGGGTGCAGTACAAGGCAAGTATGTTTAAATATCGAACCAGACCGATTCATGTACCCCTACTTCGATTGCTAGAAACATTATCTAGCAATTGGTTTTTGGTGAAAACAATAATCTATAGCTAAAGCGTTTGCAAAGGTAAATGGATTTGACACTAATTAAGAAGGCTTCACCCGGCTGTTGCTCCCCCTAGCTAACAATTATGATTTGTTGGATTGAATGGTCGTGTGTGGTTAGGGGGTTGTAAACCATAGGGAAGTGTAACAAGTAGCCAACGCCGCTCTCTTAGTCTCTAGGTCGAGGGAAGGGGATATGATCCAAGCCACCAACGTGACTCTCTCGACCTATTGACTAAGGGCTGGTTAGACTTCACCCTCGAATCAGAGTTCGGATGACCACTCACAAGCTAATACAAAATAAGAGGTTTTCCCTACATTAACCTAGATAAGAAACAATGAATTGCCTAAGAAAACCCAACATTCAAGCCTCTTTCGAAGAAAGGAAGGGGGTTTTCTCTCTACCTAGGTTAGAATGGCAATTAGATTGATAGGCTTTCAAAAAAACACAATCATTCATGAATAATACCTCCACATTCACATTAAACACAACCACACACAAATCATTCAATACATACAAGCATTCACATAATTGTAGCTAGGGTTAACAAGCACCCAAGTGAAAAAAGAGACTAGTCCATGCTAGGAGAAAGGAAAACACAAGAGAGAAGAGGGGAAATCATCCAAGAGATGTTAGCCTTGCTCCTTGTGCTGAAGATATCCTCCTTTGGGGGAGGAATTCCCAATCCATTGCTTTAAGATGAAACCCTAGTTTCTCCTCTTCTTTGGTTTGTCACTTTCTCACTCTAGAAATCTGAAGAAGAAGAAGTTTCTCACACTACATCTCTCCCTTTTTTCCTTCAGCTCAACTTCCTTTATATACCTAGATCGGGCTCAGTTAATGGTCTTAGTTCACAGCCGTGAACTGAAAGCCCAGACCACGAACTAAAGTCGAAACGCACCACATCACTAATCCCAGTTCACGGGCAATGGCCCCAGTTCACGGTCTTACGACCGTGAACTAACTTGTGTCCAGTGAAAACTGATTGTGCTATGGATGACTAGCAGTTCATGAGTAGCTCCTTCAGTTCACACTCTTAGTGACCGTGAACACACAGCCAAAACCGTGATTTGCTGTTGTTTCCACCATTTGACTTGATTTTTCGTCCTTTCATCCAACTTTCGACTTCGAGGTTGGTTCACCTGCCAAAGTATGAGAAACACCAAAACAAGGCAAAACGCGGCGTAAAACCAAATCTTCCACAGTAAAAATGCTTCAAACGACCTAGCAAATCGGGGCCAAAAAGTGTACAAATGAGCCCGAATCGTAGCTGTTTAAAGCGGTTGTAGAAACCGCTGCTAAAGGGATAAAACCTGCTGCTAAAACACTTTTTTCTTGTATTGAATGAGTGGAGAGAACCTAAGTAATGTGGTTACTAATGCTTATACTTATTATGGTGTGCTTAATGGAAAAATTCAAAACTACCACTATTTAAAAAAAATTACAAAAATACCACCCATTCCCAAGAATTTTCAAAAATACCACCATTCCCCATAAACAGCGCCTCGAAGGCGCGGTTCTCAGTCAAAACGCGTGGGCAAGGGGAGGTTTGTCATTGGGCAGCTGACAAAACGCGCCTCCACGTGGCGGTTCATGCAACCGCACGATGGGCAGGCGATTTAACGGCCTTACCGCCTGCCAGCGGAGCGATCCGCGACGCCCACGGGAAATCGTTGCCCAGATGCGCGGTTTGCGTGTTGGGAAACATGAACGTGTGCTGCAGCCGCGGTTTTGCGTGGGGTAAAAATACCAAATCGCCCCTCCAGCACGCGGTTCTCGCCCAATAAATACCCACCCCCTTCCTCCCATTTTCTGCACACCAAACCCCCACTCTCCTCTCTCTCTCTCTCTCTAAGTTCCTCACTCTACCCATCCCCTCCCCACCCAAAAACCTTGGAAGTAGTTGTTTTGTGGGTTGTGACTAAGTCCGATTTGTCTTTAAAAAACTTTTTCTTTGGTTTTCACTAAAAATCGTCGAATCTCTGTCCAGATTCTGAAAAAATGGCCGATTTTATCCAAGAAGAGGGTATTTACTATGATGATTATCAAGCGGTACGTACTCATTTTACCCAATTTTTGTTGTTGTTATAATGGTTTATTTAATTTATATACTAATTGATTTATGTTGTTGTTATGCTATCGTAGGTTGGGCCGGATGTTGATATATACAATCAACGATATTATGTTGATCAAGGACCAATTGATCCGATTATTTTATACGATCAATACAATCATCGTTCAAGAGACGTTTGGAACAACCACAAGGTACATATTATTTATCATCACTTGTAATTTTTATTTTGTTAACGTAATTTATTTGTTTGTACAATAAATTACTTAATTGTTAATCGTATTGATTATTTTCAATAATTTAAATCAATACAATACAACACTTATGTAGACTCTTTATAAAGAAATGCATGTATAAGGAAATGGGGTCTTAAGCGATCATCATGATCCTCCCATGACCTGGGAAAATCGGGTTCTAAGCGATCCTCGGATCTCCCATTTTTCTATCAAACAGACTGTGTTCTAAGGAGATCTATACCTCTACTAAGAGTCTTACGAGTGTACTTGTATTGCTTTAAATTAAATTATTGAAAACAATCAATACCAAGTACAAAATAGTATACTTGATTTTATGTGTATGTGTGATAAAATAATTTTACTTAAATTTCAAAAATAATTTTAGTTAGCTTAATATTAATATTTATTAGATAATGTATATTTCTCGGAAACAACCTTCATTTAATTAATTTATATTGTTTGTAATAATAGATTTATATATGTAAAAATCATCAGCTTATAGTGAAAGTTAAATTATTCTCTAGGATGCATACCATATAGTCCACTATAGGGGTATGACGAATGTGCTTGAATGGAACGACATCATCTTGCCCTTTCTAAAAAGGGCAAAATTGGATCCGATTAAGCACTTTAATGGAATCAAGATTGACCACCAACTCATCACAACATTGGTAGAGAGATGGCGAAAGGAGACACATTGTTTCAATTTTCGTGAAGGCGAGTGCACCATCACACTTAAGGACATCGCCATCCTAACTGAAATTTGAAGAAGAAGGAGGAGTGGAGTGAAGATTTTGAGTTTTCTGGACCTGCCTTTTATAGGAAAATTTTTCACTACAAACCGCAGGGGGGAGCAGTTTTAGTCTGGCATGCAGCCCCCCTGCAACCTCCTGCATGCCGACATATTAGATGTCAGGTGACGAGGCACAAACTGCTGGTGGGGGAATGGTTTTTGTGTCGACATGGTAAACCGTTTCTCTGTGGAGCGTTTTACCATGCCGACACGTAAACGCTCCCTTATGAAGCGGTTTGTGGTAGGGCAACCATAAAAGCCGCTCTTTCGAAGAGCGTTTTTGCCAAAATAGGCAAACCGCTTGTTGACCAGGCATTTCTATGGTAAATCGCGGCCTAGTTGTGCGGTTTCTAATTTAACCGCCCCTTAGTAGAGCGATTTTTAATAAACGATGGTAATTTTGGAAAATCTTGGGAATATGTGGTATTTTTGTAATTTTTTTTAAACATTGGTAGTTTTGGATTTTTTCCGTAGTTAATCTGGTTATTATTTATGTTGTTTTAATTATACAATCCAATTCATTTTCTAGGTTGCAGTAGCGAAAAAATTTTATAGCCAACACCGACAAACATTTCAAGTTGATGCATTGTTGGAATATACTTCCAAGTTGCCTAAATTAATGCACCAATTATATACACCCATGGCACTCATTCCACCGATGAATATCATTCTGATGAACAATTGATAACACAACTCATTTTGATTAAAGCTAAACGAACATTTGATGACACATCTCATTATATTTCAATCAACAGTTGATGGCGCAACTCAGTCTTATTAAATTTGAATAAACAGTTGATGACACAACTCATTTATTTATGATTAAAGTTAGATGAGTCTATATGTCATATTATTTTTAACGATAAACTATATATGTCCAAACTAAAAAATTATATCAAAATATTCGTATTAATTAATTATTATTGACTATATAAAAACATAAATTATATAATTAAAGTGATGAAATCGAAAATGTGCAATGCAACTTGGGAGATTTCACATTCTAGTCTTTCTCATCAGAGTAAAACGACTTTTTGTGGGGTAGAGTAAAGAACATGGATATATTCTAATATTTTACATTGGAGAAGGTGGTAAGAAAAAAATATATCGGAAACCATATAATTTATAGGGGTGTTCAAATGGTTGCCGTGATAATAACCAACCCAATTAATCCTAAATTTCATTAATCATGGAATAAAATGTCTTAACCAAACCAAAGTTTAATTGGTTTGGATAATCGGATTAACCAAATAATATAACATTACATGAAAACAAACATAAACTATCATTTTATATAAACAATAATAATAAGACTAACCATCCATAATTATCATCATTACTGGAGTTAATAATAAACTACCAAGGGTTTGTTATAAACTACCTAAGGTAGTTTATAACAAACCCTTAACATAAATATATCGAAAGCCATGTCATTCACTCGTTCATCTACTCTCGTGTGAATGCGCTACCTACCAAGTACTGTTGTACCAAAACCAATAATTGACGACGGGTTCTTAGCCTCTTAACATACTTCCCGAATTAAAGATAGACGACCCAGCCAAAATGCCGACCACCACACAGGTAAGGTCAAATTATATTAAATTGTACCAACCAGGCTTGAGTCAGCAACTGAGCATACTTTTTTATTGCATTTGCTCTGCCTATATATAAAAGGTAAGCTCCCATTCCGATTTCCATCAAACCAAGATCCAAACCATCTAGCACTCTAATCTTTTCTCCCCCTTTCAACCTGAAACAGAAATGGCAGTGTTCAAATTGGAGTCGGACAAGCAATTCATCCGAACCTTCAAAGGCGATCCGGAATTACATGTCTTCGAGTATCTTGACGATCCCAACGTTTTCGAGATGATCCGAGCCAGCAACAACCGCTGGAGACAACTCACCCGGGTCGGCCCGACCGGGGCGGCCCCCTTCAAGGTGCTGGAGGTACTGGGGGTGAGGATCGGAGGCAACCAATTGAAGAATCTGGCCACGGATTTGACCCTCACGGCTCGAGATGGCCAAACCTTCCATCTCATCGTCAACCATCAAGGCCTCTGTTTCCTGTACGTGGACAGCTCGCCTGTGATGCGGCTGCGGGTCAATGACTATTTCGGTTGGTCCAAGTACGGGGTCAGCCCCGGGGTTGGTCCGATCTGGAACAGGTGGGACATGAGCAACGGCGCCGTTTTGGTGCCGGCTGCGGCGGCTCCTTCGTCCGATTGCTGGAAGAAGCTTGCGGAGGAGAAGGACAAGCTATTGGAGAAGAGCAAGGAGACAGAGTCGTTGCTCAGGCAGTCGATTGCGGACAAGGATAAGCAGTTGGCTGCTCTCAAGGCCTCCATGAAAGCCTTGGTGCAGGAAGTGTGACCAAGTAACAAGCTCTGTGGAGTGGATATGTAGACTGAAATAAATAGATCTCGTGCGTTGCGGCGGCAGCGAGATGCACGAAATCACTCTTTTGCGTTTGCTTGTCTAAATTTGCTATCTATGTATGAAGAAAGACTGTAAGCTAGCCTACCGTCATTTCAATGTTCCTCTGCGTTGACATTTGGGCAGTTGTGATCAAGATCCAATGCCGGCAAGTTCAATGTTCCTATGCATATTAAACTAGTTAAACGAATTGTTAACTCGATACTGTACTCATATAAATGCAGCAATTTATGTCCTACGAGTTCGGGTTTTATCCTATCCGATAAGGCTGGATTCGGGCGGATATCCACGGTTACGGATATTTTTGCCATCCCTAAAGTCAAGGCTTGTTGTTTGCTGCTCTGTTGTGAACCAATTACGTACCAACATTTGTCCGGAACTCTGGATACTTGGAACCTGAAATATGTTGAAAGGTAATGAAGAAATTGAAACCAGAAATTCGTAATGACAAAATGATAAAATTATGAAAAACTCCTTTAAAATTAATTTATACAATTTTTTTTTAAATTATTAAACAATTCATATCAATTAACCCTTAAAATATGTATTACTAACACTTAAAAATATGAATTTACATATACCTCTCTCCTCAACCCTAAAGAATCTTATCTTCCTCATCTTCTCCCTTCGCCATTGTCCCCTCTCTGCCGCCCTCTTAGACCAGGCACAACAAGCCTACAATAGGAGAGTATAAAAAGGCTAAAAAGGAAAAAGAAGGGTATTGGGGGAGCGTTTTACACTTCTGAAAAAGACAACAAAAGGAGGGAAAACCGAAAAAGTGGAATCCTGGCGGAAGAAGATGGACCGGGCCGCGGCTGGCGCCCTCTTTATCTTTTTTTTGTAACATATTGAATTTAAATGGTTTTTTGTATGTTTAGGCCAACGACCATATTCTACAACCGCCATATTTCCAACGACTATTTTTTCAACGTCATATTTCCAACGACCATATTTTTTTCAGCTCTATAAATAGAATTCATTATTCACTTTCTTCCAACACTTATCAAACTCTGTTCCTACCTTCCAAACAAAAAACTCTCTTCTTCCCAAACTCTTTGTAATCGTAATCATGGCTTCTTCCTGCAGCGAGCGCAATCCGAATTACACAACGCCTGAAGGACTTGTTTTGTGCCAAGTTTTGATGGAAGTTTCACAAGATCCTATTATCGGTCATTATCAATCTTCACGTTTCTGGAAAAGAATTGGAGATCGATATTCTGCAAATGGTTTTATGATCAATCGTACCAATGCCGCCTTGAAGACTCGATGACAGTTTATCAACCATTCATGTCAGAAGTGGTATGCGACATTGAGGGAAGCAAATGCTAATCCACCGAGCGGAACTAACCAAGTAGATGTGGTTAGTCAACTCTAAAACATCTATATTTAATTAATGGTGTAATTTTAGTGCTCTAATTTTTAATCATGTGTATTGTTTTCTAATTAATTGTGTAGACCCTTCAAGTGAAAGCTATTTTCAAGACGGACACGAAGAAAGACTGGAAGTTGGAAGAATGTTGGCAACTACTCCAAGAGTGTCCAAGATTTATGCAACAATTTTATGCTCCCATTGCACTCATTCCACCAATCGATGGATCTCAATCGGCTATGTCTAATGATGAACCTGATAGCCCCGACCTTCATGCAACTGCTGCTCCAAGAGTGATCAACCGTCCCGAAGGTCGAGATCAACAAAAGAGGAAGAAAAGAGGAGGTGGTGATTCTTCTGCCATGGATGCTTTTCTTAAGAGTTTGGCGGACATGGCCGCAAGTTTGGCAACACATGCAAAATTGGTTGTCGGTAGGAGGAAAGGGAGAAGGCGAACGAAGCAAGAGAAAAAAGTAGGTACGAGCGAGAAATCATGCTTCATGATCTTTCAAGTTTTGGTGACCCGAAAAGGTAAAAGCGTAAACTTTTAAGTTTTAAAGCGCGATTTTGAATGCGTTGCCAGCTTCTACACCACCTAGAGGATCTTCCAGTAGCCCATTTGATGACACTTACACCCCAGATCGGTAGTCTCTAAAAGGTTGTTTAGTTTATTGTGATGTATGTTTTATTTTTAGTGTGTTTGATTAAAGTACTTTCAATTTATCCTTGATGTATGCTTTATTTTTAGTGTCTTTGATTTAAGGGGTCGTTTGGAGAACACGATTCACTACATGGATTCACTGAATCCGTAGATTTTGTAGACATTTATATTTTTCTGTTGCTTTCTCTATTATGGATTCTAGCTTTAGAGATTTCAAATCTCTAAAATCTGCGGATATCAAATCTCTCATAATCAGAGAGATTCTATATCTTGATTCGTGAGATTTTTTTTCTCTTAGTTTTTCTTTTACTTCTATTTATTTATCACATGAAATATATCTATCAATAAAGTTTTTAATATTTCTTGAACCACTCTAATTTTTTTATTAAATATACAAATCTTATTTAATATAAAATTAATTTTTTTATTTTAATTGAATGTTAATAATTACAGTTACCAAATAATAAACATTTTAAAATCTGTTTTCAACAATATGGAGAGTTAGAATCTTTAGATTGTTGACAATATGTAGATTTAAACTCATATTCTCCACACGACCCCTAAGTACTTTCAATTTACCCCCCGATGTATCTTTTATTTTCAATGTATCCTTTTTATGTTTTTGTTGAATATTTAATGCAACAACTTTCTTTATTAAGACACTATAAAATGGAGAATACATTGATAACACAGCACAACAAAAATAAATAAAGCAAATTCAGCACACAATACAAATTCAAGTAATTAAAATGCACAATTTAAATTTAGAGTCCTGCCATATTTATACTCCCCTCCTCCTGCTCTTGTCCACAAATGCTCAACCAAATCCGCTTTCAGCGCATGATGCCCTTCACGGTTACGAATCCTATTATGCCTTATTATGTACTCCATGAGAGTCGGAGTGTCATGATCCGGTGGATCCAATGTGACATATGGATTAGTCTCATATGCAAAGGCATCGACATGTTCTTCTCCAAACTCATTTTGTTGGTCTTCAACTATCATATTGTGTAGAATAACGCAAGTTAGCATAACCTCTCCTAGTGTTTGTACATCCCAATATCGACCCGGAGCTCTAACAATGACCCATCTTTCTTGTAGAATGCCGAAAGCTCTCTCAACATCCTTGCGGTATGACTCTAGCCATTTAGCAAACAGTTTCTTCTTCTGGTTACTAGGGTTGCTAATGCGTTTCACAAATGTTGACCATTCAGGATAACTTTCGTCAGCCAAGTAGTAACATTGATCATAAATTTTACCATGTACTGTATATCTGACTTTTGGAAGATTTCCTCTAACAGCTTCATCGAACAGTGGGGAGATTCCAAACATGCTTATGTCATTGTTTGATCCGGGACTTCCGAAGAAGGCATGCCAAATCCATGTGTCATATGATGCAACAGCTTCCAGGACAATTGTTGGCTTCCCCTTGGATCCAGTAAATTGTCTTTGCCACGCCATTGGACAATTTTTCCACTCCCAATGCATGTAGTCGGTTGAATCGATCATACCCGAAAAGCCACGTCGATTGCTGTGATGAAGAAGGCGGCGAAGATCCTCTATATTTGGTGATCATAGATGCAGATAATGGCATTACAAAATTTATGCATACACTGCAGTACACTGGTCTCACCCATATCAAATGTCTCGTCTAGGGAGTCGGCTGACCATCCATTTGAAAGCATCCGGAGGGAAGTAGTAAGCTTTTGTTCGGGGGAGAATGACAGGCGACCTGCAGCATCTCGGCCTTGCCGGAAGTAGGGGTCGTGTTGAACAACGACATTCATGACTCGGTTGAACGAGGAGAGGGGCATCCCAAATCTCCTTCTGAAGAACCTAGCATCGTAGGTTGGATTGGGAACAAAATCTTGTTGCATCAAGCGTTGATGTGCTTCTACCCTGTTACGCCTCACAACTTTACGTGAATGTGAACGATGTCGAGATGAGGATGCTTGCTCTTGGAACATTAATGCTCCTGCCATCGCCATCATCTGTTGACGATCACGGTCAAGCTGACACTCATACTCCCATTGCCTGGCATCATCATCCGATTGTTGCCTCTCATAAGCTTCTCTATTAGGGGAACTCATGATGAAAAAAAAGTTTGTGTGTGTTGAGAGAAATATGAAGTTGAGAGAATGAAGGTTGAATGGTGGGATGAATGGATTGACAAAGTTTAGCCTTCATTTATAGAAACATGAAATGATTCTCCAGCAATAATATGACAACTAGATGAAGAATTTATGGCACCAATCAATATGATTAAAATTAGATGGACAGTTGATGACACCACTCAATATGATTAAAGCTGGATGAACATTTGATTTTACCACTCAATATGATTAAAGTTGGTCAAAAAATTGATGGAACCACTAATTTTGTGAAACATGTGATGAGTTATAGTATTCTGCAAATTATTGAGAATCGTCATTGATGACGTCATATTTAATTAGCGATAAAAAAATTATGTACAAATTAAAAAAATATATATCAAAATGTTCATCTTAATTAATTAATACTACCTGTATAAAAATAATAAGTAAATAATCCAAATAAAGTTACCATATCAACTCTAAATTGATTTTGAAGAAAAAAACCCTTCCCCATTACCCTTTTTTCCCTCCCACCTATTGTGGCCAAATCCTTTCCTCCACCCTTTTCCCCCTTTTTTCCACCCTTTTTTCCCTTCCACCATTGTGGATGGTCTTATACCACACGTTGCCGATTGCGATGATCAAGAGTGCACCATCGTTGAACCAACCGAACCCCTAGTCAACTGACTCAGGTGCCTTGTCGGAGAGTCGTGGCAACAACCGGTTGATCCCAATAACTTGATTTGTTGAGAGAGATACCATAATGAATCTTTTTTTATAATGATGATTAGCATTACCGGAAAAAATGGGTAGAAGTTCTATAGAACAACAAAAACAACATCAAAGGTTTAAAAGAAAGGAACTGCAAGCAAACCCAGAAAGCAAATTAAAGGAAAAAGACAGAACAAATGAAAGTCAATTCATATAGTTTTGAAGTTTGTATAGGTCTGCTTATAATAATTTTAATAACTGAGGGTCATTGAGATTCCAATAGAAGACTTTTCAGTCACAAAATACTCTGATACCATGTCAAGAATCAATGGGTCATAATGACTTGAAATGTTATGAGCGCTTAAATAATGGATCTTATACCACTTACTAATAAGTCGCATGCTTCAAAAGGAAAGAATCGTCCATAAGAGGACTAGTGAAACTATATATGTATATCAAGAGTTATACGGCTCAACTAATAGGAGGCAGTCAATCCACTTAGAGCCCATTATTGCCGTGTTCGGGTCACTCATTTCTTGAATCGTTCCAGGTAACCCCCGAGGAAGTTAATTTGGTTGAAGTCTTGTCGAGGGCTTGATGG